AATAAGGGAAAGGAATCATTAAAAAGAAAGGAAATAAGCTGAAACGAGGGGTATGCATTGCCGATGACTACCACCTACGGCCACCAACCGCGAAACAGCCCATCGATTGTCTTAGGGAGGAAATGGGACTGGACCAGGCGATGTTGGATGACATTTTTGACCTCCCAATGTTTTTCTACCGAAAACAAATAAACATTAAATGGTATCTAAGGAACTCTAAAGAACAGACTCCTCCTTAGAACTTTTTATTAGGACCAGTAACAAGACGGCTGTTCGGGATTTCGGATATTTGGTGTTTTCTTTCGGAATTTAAAAGGAATAATTAAATATCTGTGGGCACTTCGTATTTACAAATGGAGTTCTCAGAGGTAGAGCCCTTCTGAATTTTCAACTCACGTACCTTCTAGAGTGCTGAGATCAGTTTTGAATTTATAAAAAAGAGGCTCGGAGTGATGGACCAATTCATCGTCCTCGTCATATGCGAACAACTGAATGATGTATTCATCGGGAGTTTTTCTTGGTATCGCCTGGAAGAAGATCAGTATCGGTTGCAAAATTGTCGCTGGAGATGACCAACTTACAGAATGAAGGGTGTTTTCGCTCAATTCTTCCGAATAGCTCCATTCAGTATTATTGATAAGGCGATACCTAAACGAGCAGTTCAGTATCATTCAGTGAATTGCTCTGGGAGGCAGAGGTTGGCCTTGAATTCTACTGTAAATGAGAACCAAAGTAAGTAAAGTTCCTCTTCACCCAGTGCCCCATTGCCACTATGGCGGTTACTTATGAAACTAGGAAAAAAGGGGCCTGAAGAGTAAGGAGAGAGAAACGCTTGAGCCGAGCCAGCTCCTGAACAATGATTCACATTTTTACTCAATATTTAATTTTTGTTAGAGGTTCCGTACCTAAAGTAAATTATCATTACTAATCTCATAAAAAATCGTTTCTGTCGAATTCCGGGGTAGGAGTTATCGGCGCGGGGGGAGTAGAAACGTAAGGAGCAAGGAGCTTGCGGTACAACTTCGAAAAACCCTTCGGCACAAGGATACTGGACCATCTGCTCAAGCACTCTCTCGTTCCTCCGTCGCTTGACAAAACTCTGACCCCTCGGTTCCAACAATTTTTCGTGCAACCCCTGCCCACTAACTCCATACNCAACAGGGAGACCAGATCATAATTACAATTAGTCAATAAATTATACAATTTGCAAATTGTACGATCTGGGCGTGGAGATTTGAACAGACTGCTCAAGTGAGGGTGCCCCAACCTGCAACGCACTATTACGGAAAATGCGCGTTTGAACGCCTTTTTTCTTCGGAGGATCAGTTTTTTTCCTCATTTTTACACAACTACAATGAAAAGTGCCTCTGTTCATAAACTCCATGTCATTCAGTCGCCAAATAAGTTTTTCTCGTGGATTCGGCAAGTAATGGCAAGGAAATTAATAAGCATTCATTCTAACATTCTTTTTCTTCCTTGCTTCTTCCTGTATTTGTTTCTTTCCTTTACTCATTCATATTTCATTCACTCATCCAATCGTTTTTTCTTTCGTTCCCAGTCAATTTTTTACAACTACTCAAAGTTGAAGTGGGAGGTGCTAGGAGGCGTGCTAACATCTATACGGTCAAAGGATCAAATCTCAGGCCGATAACCACCGTCAGAGACCGCCCGAGCCTTTCATCTCTTCGGGTTCAGAGCCAAACCTGTGAACTAACGTTTATCGTGGTTTCAGGTGCTCCTCCCTCATTTGAAATGCTCCCGAGTATTTTACTGTATGATTCCCGATTGAGAGTTTCTATATGTAGAAGTCCCTAAAAGTGAGGGGGGAAGCATGACAATACTATTATTCACTTACTTCAGTACAAATTTGGAAAAGAATTGTCCACAAGGTATCTTCCATGCGACATGAAGGAGTTGTAATTCCTCGTATGGTGCCGTCAAATCAATAGATGATTTATGAAATTTTGGAAGAAAAAATTCAGCTGAAAATTGAATTTTTCGGAGAGTTTCGATGTGGTAACGGTTTACATACATTTATCAGCATGTATCAACTTTTTGGCCATTGTAAATGTCTGCTGTATAGCCTACAGCACTAAAATAGAGTCCATCCTCAGGGGAGAAAAAGGAAAGTGTTCAGAACTACTTGTCTACATCTCTTAAGAGCAAAAAGTTTTCCACTG